TGTGTGTGTGTGTGTGTGTGTGTGTGTGTGTGACTATTTTGGAGGGGGGAGTATTTCTATCTCGTTTATCATTTACTGGAATGAGTTAACCTGCTAAAGGGTAGCCCATAACAATTATGATCCAGATGTGCTTAGATAGTCTTGTCCACAAAGATCATCATTCCAATGTTCTCTGAGGTGCAACTGATAATCGTTCCACCCTACGTTAGTGCCCACTGATACAGTTTGTAGGACTGTGTAAACTAGTGGATACACAGTGCACCTGATCACATGTATAAAACCCATTGAAAAAGTGAAACAGAGAGAAGGAAACTGATAGGGAAACACTCAGGAACTCTGATAACATTAGGAGGAGGTTAAAGGCTGAGGGGAGAAGAAAAGCAGGGCTCCTAAGAGTACGGAGAGAGGCCTAATCAAAGGTTACAAGCAAATGCAGCAATAACGCATTCATAAAGTTCCACTTGCAATTTGGACAGCTGGCACATAAAGCCGGTATTTATGCATCACTCCCGAGGACGAGAGAGTGGTGAATGGCACCACACGACCTTTTCCAATGCCACGAGCCGGCTCCACTTTCCACGGGGCACAGCCGCAACCCTGTAGGCGCTGACTCACAGTGGGCCTCCCTAGCAACCCTCTGCTCCGATCCTCGAGGATACTTTCTACAGCACCCTCAGTTAACACTGCTCCTGCTCACGGCCTCACAGCCGACAGCCAGCTGTGCCTCGCCTCACCTCCTCCTGCTGCACCGGCTCCGAGGAGCGGGTGATGGAAGACACCAGCGGCTCCTCAGCTGGCTCATCCAGCTCATTGTCAGTGTAGGCGCCTCCCTCGCCGTCGGTGTCTTCAAAGTCACTGATGAGACGGCTGTCACAACTCAGATAGTCCGCGCCCATGGCGGTTAAGTACGACATGCGGTCTTCAGGGTCATCATCCACCCCTTCCATCTGGAGGAATTTGTTTTGAAGGGTGAGTGGGATCTGGCATGACTCCTGGGAGTAGGGACTCAAGAAAACTCCCAAGGGCTTGGAAACCTTGACAGGTGCTAGCAGGGGAAGGGACCTTTAGTTTCCTGCTATCGCTTGGCTTTGCGAGGCTGATGCTGGGTTGATTTCTGCACAGGGACACAAACTGGAGACCCTCCAGTCTATTCTTGCTACCGTCCATCCTCTAGGCCAGCTGAGCCAAGTTCCCCTGCTTTGCTGGTCTCCCAGGATCAGCTTCTCTCCAGCTTTTCTGCTGGTCCCTGTCATTTCCAAGACTCTCAGACCCAGGCTCGGATGTTTCTCAGAGGTAGCTGGGTTCAGTTCCAGGACCAGAAAATAATATTCTCAGAACCTTGAGGACAAAAGCTACATCCTGCTCAACTTGTCCTCTCCAGGGAGCTGTGGAGACTACAAGCATTTGGCAGATGCTAGATTCGTCAACTAAACATCTAGGTCCCAAGGAGCAAGACAGTCCATGCCACCAAAAACTCACCACAAAGGATCACCAGCTACCTCAATTTAGCTGGAGTAAAGGTTCCTAGAATGAAGGGGGTGCCGGGTTGTCAACTCTCTCCTTCCCACAGCATACCTGTATGTTTATCTCTACAGATTTAGATGCTATCCAACTTGAGAGGGCTAGCAAGGATCACTATTGTTTTCAGACTCAAGAGTTAGAATGCCTTCTCCATTGACTGACCTCTTTACTAAGCACATCATTCCAGCTGTTAACACTTTCTCTTGGTATCATTTTAAACTGTCTTCCCCATGGTTCTCAACCTTGCCTCTCATCTCCACTCCGAGTTTCCCAGGTCCTTAGTGCAGTGTGGCATTAGGAATGAGAACTTGTAAGCTCTGATTAGAGGACTTGGAATGCAATTCTAGTTGCTACATTAAAAGTAGAGGGGAAGTGAATGTAGGTCGGCACTCATCACGCTCTGCCTTGCAAAGTCCCTTCATTTTATGGCTTTGTTGGAGAACTAGAGAGCTGCCGACTTGAAGAACACATTGAATCCCTTTCGTTTCATGATTTACTACATTCACTGCCCTCTGGAGGAAGCACCAAGAACACAGACTCTCACCTCACAGCAGCAAATCTAGGCCACATACCTTTCCTTCAGAGACCCAGACTGCTTCGCCTTGCTGCTGCTGAATGCTGTCCTTCAAGCTGCCAAACCAGCCGTCATTGGCTGAATTCACATTGATTATTGCTACAGGAATGCAAACAAAAAGGTCAGCATCAATTTCCAGAGCAAACCTTTATTCTAGAAGCTATTCACATTATTTCTTTTTATACCATATTTGAAGAAAGACTTGCCAAATTCGGAAGTCTGTATTTTATTTTAAACATAAAAATCTTTTTAGTTGAATGCAACTAAAGCTGTTTTAGTTTACATTACAGACAGATGTTGTAAAGCTTGTCCAGGCTGATTATATAACATAACATATAACATAACATAATATACTTCAGAAGAACTAGTCAGTATGTGTCTATCTTTTCTTTCTTTCTTTTTTTTTTTGTTTTTGTTTTTGCAGTATTAGGAACAGAATTTAGGCCATCCCAAATGCTACATAGGTATTCTACCACACAGTCACAGTCCCCAGCCCTAAAAAAATATATTTTCAGGAGCACAGGTAAATTGAACTGTACTCTGAACTGCAAGCTAAAATAAACCTATTCTTTCCTGGGGCTGCTTTTGTCAGGGTATTTTTATGAGAGAAAAGGAAAAAACAAAAAATGAGCGAGCCTTACACTTCATCCCAAGCAAATAAAGAAACCTGAGTGAAAACCAGGAAAATTATTTTCTGAGTCTGCAGCCTGGGCCATTGCCCTACACAGCCCATGTAAAGACACCGATTTGCAGCACAGATATAAGATACTAACAGACACACAACATGCATCTGTTCTTCACATTGGTATTTACAGATGTAGCGATGATAAACTAGGCAGGCAAAACACCCCAAACATAGCTGGATGGTAGTGGTGCACGCCTTTAATCCCAGCACTCGGGAGACAGAGCCAGGCAGATCTCTGTGAGTTCGAGGCCAGCCTGGGCTACAGAGTAAGATCCAGGACAGGCACCAAAACAACACAGAGAAACCCTAACTTGAAAACAACCCCCCGCCCCCGAAAAAAAGCTTCCCCAAACAGTAAGTTGGATCTAAATAGTCTAAACAGGGCTAGAGAGATAGCTCATTGGGAAAGAGCACTTGCTGTGAGAGCTGGGGGGGCATGGACTCAACTCCACTGTGTAAAAAGCTGGGCATGGCTGTGTGTGCCTGTAACCCCAGCACTGGAAACAGAGACATGTGGATCCTGGGCATTCAATGGCCAACAAGATTGATTGATGGACATAACATATACAGACACACACGCGCCCAAAAAAGAACCCCCAAAACAAAAACAAGTTAATATAAAAATTATCTAAAATGCAAATGATCAGGTTGCAGATAAACTACAATTGATTTTTTTTTTTTTTTTTTGGAGGGGGATGGTTTTGAGACAGGGTTTCTCTGTGTAGTCTTGGCTGCCCTGGAAATTGCTCTATAAACCAGGCTAGCCTCGAACTCAGAGATCTACCTGCCTCTGCTTCCTGAGCGCTGGGATTAAAGGCATATGCCACCACTACCCCACTACAATTGCTTTTCAATTATGCTTTCGCCGGGCGGTGGTGGCGCACGCCTGTAATCCCAGCACTCAGGAGGCAGAGGCAGGTGGATCTCTGTGAGTTCGAGGCCAGCCTGGTCTACAGAGTGAGATCCAGGACAGGCTCCAAAGCTACACAGAGAAACCCTGTCTCGAAAAACCAAAAATAAAAAGGCTTTCATGGCTCTTTATTAGAGGGCATGGTGGTATATGTAATTTCTAAAGCCAAACAAACCATTAATGGTTATGTGAAATTCCTGAGTAACTATGCTTCAAGTTTTCTTTTAATTAAATTTGACTTTCTTTCATTTAAGCAATTCTAATCTTGAAACCAGGTATGGTGATGTGCATTTGTAATCAGATGTACATCCGTACCTGCTCTGGAGGTAGAGGCAGGGGAATCTCAAGTTCAAGCTCATCAGTCACTACAAAGTAAGTTTGAGGAAAGCCTGGAGATACATGAGACCCTGGCTTGAAAATTTGAAAAAGTTCCATCTCTGACCTTGGGAAATCATGAATGAGCTTACAGTTTCCTTAGTTATTAATTATTTACAGCATTAGACTAAACTGATACATTGGCAGCCCAAGGAAATTAACCTTGATGCCATGGATTTTTTTGTGTCCTTATCATCACGGTATTGTAACCATGGCTAAAATACGATCCAAGATGTAAATATAGAAGTGAGATTGCACACCCTAGGGACAAAACAAGTGACTTGTAATAGATGTATAAAGAATGTTAAGTGGCTCTTTACAGGTTTCTATTGGGAGCTGTCTGATATAGTATGAATTCATCACAAGGGAAACCTCAAGTTAAGGGTACTCTCTAAGAAATGTAGGAATTACCATTGTGCCCCCTGACAATATGAATGTCACAGAACCCCTGAGTTTCAATCAGGATCAAGTGCTGAAACACTAACATAAAAGAGGCATAGAAGCTGATTTCCTAGGCCCCACTCAGAGGTAGTATCCAATTCATGAGCTTTGCCTCTTTTTAAAGAGGCTTTATATGACTTTCAAACTCAAGAACTGAAATTCTGAGAGGATCCTTCTGCTACCAATGTCCCTGCTGGCACATGGGGGCAGTACCTCCCCACTTCTAGTGACAGAGACACCAAAAGGCACCATGTAAGCTGGAAGGGTTGGGGGAAATTGGCAGTGATTGCTAATGGATGGGGTTTCTGTCTAAAAGTTACTGTGACGATGGTTACTGCTGTGGAATAATCCTTCTGTAACACTGTGAATATGTATTACTCTCATTGGTTAACAAAGAGGCTGACTGGCCAACAGCTGAACAAGATAAGGTTAGGCAGGAGAGCCAAACCGAAAACGTTGGGAGGAAGAAGGGCAGAGTCAGAGGAGTCACCAGTAGATGCAAAGAGAGACAAGATGGGCATGCTGTACTAAGAGAAGGTACGAGCCATGTGGCAGAGCATAGATAAGAAATATAGGTTAATGTAAATGTAAGACTAGCTAGTAACAAGCCTGAGCTATTGGCCGAGCATTTACAATTAATATTAAGTTTCTGAGTGATTATTTGGGAGCAGTTGCCAGCACAGGAAAACTCCATCTATAGGTTACACAATTCTGAAGGAACTAAAACCCACAAATTACATCTCAAAAAGGCCATCCTGTGCCTACCTTAACACTCAAGTGCCAGACACCAGCTAAACAGGCAAGCCACCCCTCAGCCCATTTCCTTCCTATGATCAACATTCCCTACACTCCCCTAACCTAAGTATTACCTACTGCCATTTGGGTTTTTCTTGGCTGTTACAAGATTGATTTTGCTCTTGTGCTTTTTCAAAGACTAAATAATGACCAGAACAAACAAAAAACACCACACAGAGCAAAACACTTTTCTGTAATGTGACATTGAAAGATGATAATTACAGTAACAGCACTTGTAAACACCTCCAAAATTCCCGGGTTCAACACCAAAAACTTCATTTTCATGAAGCCTGGAAAGCAGATGAAATAGCCATTCTATCCTGTGGTGCTTTAACATGCTGCGATTTATCACAAAGGTGGCTTAGTTTGGGCCTCTAAATCTATAAGGCCACCACAGCAGAATTTAAACCATGAACCGAGCACTTTGAAGGTCCTAAGAGCACATGCAATTCAAATTTCATTTTTATGATATACATGCATAAATGCATCTTTTTTTTTTTTTTTTTGGTTTTTTCGAGACAGGGTTTCTCTGCGTAGTTTTGCGCCTTTCCTGGAGCTCACTTGGTAGCCCAGGCTGGCCTCGAACTCACAGCGATCCGCCTGCCTCTGCCTCCCGAGTGCTGGGATTAAAGGCGTGCGCCACCACCGCCCGGCGCATCTTTTTTTTTTAAACTGGTGCTTTTTTTTATTTTTCTTTTTAAGATTTATTTATTTATTATGTATACAGCATGTATGAATGCAGGCCAGAAGAGGGTACCAGATCTCACTACAGATGGTTGTGAGCCACCATGTGGTTGCTGGGAATTGAACTCAGGACCTCTGGAAGAGCAGTCAGTGCTCTTAGCCTCTGAGCCATCTCTCCAGCCCCGCATAAATGCATCTTATACTAAATATTTTTACTGAGAAAGGGACATGCAGGCATTACATTTTAAATTATTTTGACAACCCAACTTGCTTTTTAACAGTCTCTAAATAAAGTGTCTTAATTAATGAGTATATCAAGCTCATAATGGAAAAGATTTTAATATTATCAGAATTAAAATCTCCTCTGTGGGAAAGTTTTCTTATTACTATACAAAAAAAAGAAAAAAAAAGGAATAGGATACTGAGCCAACGAGACACAAAATATAACGTTAATTGTGCTCACCAAAGCAAGGCTAATATTCCCATTTACTAATTCGTAAACATTCTAAAACATAGAAAGTAAAATATTAACTGCTCATGGTCCTGCTGATCATGCTTAAAAACCGGTGTTTCAGGGATGGAGAGATGGCTCAGCTGCTCTTCCAGAGGTCCCAAGTTCAATTCTCAGGAACCACATGGTGACTCACAACCATCTATAGTGGGATCTGATGCCCTCTTCTGGCATAAAGGCATACATGCAGATAGAGAGCACTCATACACAATAAATAAATAAATAAATGAATAAATGAATGAATGAATAAATAAATAAATCCTTAAAAATAACACACAGCAAAACATTCTTTTAAAAAAAAAACCAAAACAGGGCTGGGCAGTAGTAGTGCACGCCTTTAATCCCAGCACTCAGGAGGCAGAGCCAGGCATCTCTCTGTGAGTTCGAGGCCCGCCTGGTCTACAGGACAGGCACCACAACTACACAGAGAAACCCTGTCTCAAAAAAACAACAAACAAACAAACAAAATCTAATTATAGATAAAGTAGAAGCCAGTCTATAAATTTCACGTCTGTGTCACGGTGCCTGGCCAATCTGGCCAACCTATCTATACTCTATCTATTCTCCTCTCACTGCAGATTACCTATGCAAATTCTAGTGTGCCTACGAGATACTTTATACAGATTTTATTCAGTATATTTCGCTAAAACATAAAGATAATATTAAGAAGAAAAAATACATTCATGGTATTATTACAGCTAAAAGGCAGAGGTAACAAATGTTTAAATCTCCCATATCCAGAGTGTTGGATTTCTATTTGGGAGACTTTGCCGGTCACCACAACTTCCCATTGCACCGTCAGTTAATGCATCACTGACAGTAGAGAATAGCAACACAGTTGCCACAGACAGGGAAACTTGGCAATAAGCTAGGGTCAATCATTAGCCTTGTCTACCACAAAAATCCAATGTCATTAAGATGAGCAGGATATTACCATGTCTCTTTACCGTCATTTCTGGCTGTCAAAATCACAGAGTTTAACATACAAATGCCATAGGTCTACATATCCACCCCATCATATTAACTATTGTTGAGTGAGTCACAAGCATGATTCCATATTCATTACACAGATTATTTCCTTATTTCCATTTTGAGTGTGAACCACCTTTTTAAAATTTCACTCACCTGTAAAAAGATGAGAACAGGCTTTTTTGAGCTTGTTGGCTTGATCAAATAACTTCCTAGAACTTTTATTGGATGTTGGACTCAACCTTTGTCTTATGGTTTTAACACCTTGTCTGGAATCCAGGTTGAAGAAAATCACGATTGGGAACCACTGAGTATAATTGAGCAGATCCACAGCTTTGGGAGTCACGTCAAGGAGGGCATGCTTGTCCTGTTTCAAGTGGAGAAAGGATGGGACATGGAGGCATAAAACAACATCATCAAGGTGTTTGTTTTCCCAGGTAAAGGCTGTGTCAGATACAATGTATATATTTAAATCTTTCGGGGGGGGGGGGGAGGCAGAGTCTCACGTTGTAGCTCTGGCTGGAAGTCACTTTGTAGACCAGGCTGGCCTTGAACTCAGAAATCTGCTCCTTCTGCCTCCTATTGCTGGGATTAAAGGCATGCACCACCATGCCCTGGCCTATATATTTAAATTAAAAAGCCAAAAATATTTCTTTCCATGTTATGTCCACTTCCATACTATCAAATAAAACTTCTTTTCCCCCCTGGTTTTTCAAGACAGGGTTTCTCTGTATGGCCTTGGCTCTCTTGCAACTGGCTCTGTAGACCAGGCTGGCCCCAAACTCACAGAGATCTACCTGCTTCTGCCTCCTGAATGCTGGGATTAAAGGCGTGTGCCACCACCACTTCCTGGCTGAGACAAAATTTGTTATGACTGGAGAACCGTCCTAGTCCATGGCTTCATCCTCCAGTTTCTCCTGAGTCAACAGCGAGTAAAAAAAGTTGGGAACAGTATGAGGTTCTAAGTGGGAATGAGGGGACAGGCCATATTTGTACGAGTTTTAATGGAGTGTATTTTTATGTTTGACCTATTTTGGTTTGGGTTATTGCTCTTTATCTCCTTATAAATTAAATTATCACAGATATAAATGTGAAGAAAAATTACCTGTGTGTATACATACATACATACATACATACATACATACATACATACATATGTGTACACACACAGAGACACACACACACACACACACAGACACACACAGACACACACACACACACACACACAGACACACACACACACACAGACACACACACACACACAGTATCTCCATGGTTTCAGAGAACTCTGCCACAAAATAGCTCTGGCTTACATAGTGAAAAGGTTTGAATTTACATTAGCTTTTATTACTAGCATTTTTTTAAATGATTCCCTTTTATTTTTATGTGCATTGGTGTTTTGATTGCATGTATCTCTGTGTGAGGGTGTTGGATCCCCTGAAACTGAAGTTATAGACAGTTGTGAGCTGCCATGTGGGTGCTGGGAATTGAACTCAGGACCTCTGGAAGAGCAGCCAGTGCTCTTAACCTCTGAGCCATCTCTCCAGCCCCTCGTTAGTATTTTATTAAAATGCATATTCTATTCCAAACCACGATCCAGTTCTCTGACAACATGGGCTTCTGATGAGTTTTCTCACCTGCTCAATAATCTGCCGCACAGTGTTCAAGCGAACCACGCCACTGGATTTCTCAGATCCTGCGTCTTTGGGTTCAGTTTCTGCAGAAGAAGAAGACTAAGTAATACTGGTGGAAAACAGTGACAACCAAATACCCAGCTTAACACCAGCACGGTGGGACACCTGACACAAGCCATCCCCTCAGGGCACGCAGTGCGAAGGGATCACACCGCGCGTTGAACTGAAACTGTGTGTGTGTTCTTGTATATGTGTGCACACACCCAAGTGTACACGTGTGTGGAAGTGCTTGTGTGCATGTGTTTTACACATCAAACACCAGGGTTTCATTCATAGGAGGCAAGTGCATCCACTGAGCTAGAACCCCAGCACTATTAAACGGAAATCTAACCATGAGGAAATTGCTAGGTCAACTAACAGTGAGTATATATGCTCTGATTGACGTGTATTCTCCAAGTATCAATATCCCAAGAAACTCTTTTTGAAAGGACGGATCTAGACATATAAAAGTCCTAAGTATCAACTGTAATGGATGAGCCTGAATTAAAAAAAAAAAAAAAAGATAATGTTTGGGACCAGAAATGCTACCCAATTTTGTTAATATGCATAATTAAAATATCTGAAAAAAAAAAGAGACCCAAATATTAGACTCATTCATGGTTTAGCCAAGCATGGTAGTATATTCCTGTTATACCAGCACTTGGGAGATGGAGGCAGGGAGATCAGAAATGCAAGGTCGTCCTCAGCTACACAGTGGATTTAGGGACAGCCTGGGCTATCTGAGGGACCCTGCTCAAAAAAAAAAAAAAAGTTAATTTCTATCATCCCTATCTCACACACATAGCCTGAAGATAGTTTTATGGAGCATTTTTAGTGCATCTGTATTTAGATGTTGATCATTCACATAAGAGCAAGTGTGCAATTTTCCAGTGATGCTATCATGCTGATGCTCAGAAAGTTACAATTTTTGGAATACTTCTGATTAGCAATGTTCAAACTGTAACATTAATATTAAATCTCTTTGTTACTGAGGGGGACAATGGTATTGTCATTGTGTAAAATACTCCTGTTGTGAGGAGACCACGTGTACACTCAAGGATAAAGCCTCGTAACTCTACAATTAAGACACTGAACTGGCTGAGCAGACAATTTCAAACGGGGGAATGTGTGCCTTTGGGCAGGTGGTGGAGAGAAAGTGTATCTGACAACATGACACAGTGACTCCAGGCACAGTGGGTGGATAGTCACCATTCTTCCAACTTTTGTGTACCAGAAACCTTTCAAAATAAACACTCTGGGAGCAAGACACCACGAACTGACTGACTTACGTACTTGCGGTTTGAAACAAGTTAGGTAGCTCAGTCGCCAACCTTTCCATTGCTATATCTGCTATGGGGCCGAATAAGACCACAGGTCTCTTGAAGCCAGCTGAAAGGAAAGCAGAAAGACTATCATGTCCCCATGGTTACAACGTCCCGATGAGAGGGGAATGTACCATCTACACTTCTGCAAACTCAGCAAAGAGAACGGAATTCTCCCACACCGACCTGGACTCCAGTTTCTTCCCGAAATAGCAGCCTTCACTACCCTCCCCACAGAGCCGAGTTCAATAGAAACGTCACTTGTCATTCCCTTGCGCTTCACATCCCCACCCAGTGGACAATATACAAATACTCGAGTGTCAGGATTGAAACTGTTTTCTACATTTGGAGAATTTGCCGCCATTGAGGAACCTGAACCTCCCAGGCTCCTTGATGAATGACTCCCTCCCCACACCCTTGGTGTGAGAGACATAGGTGAAGCTGGAACGTGATGGTTACAGCTGCCCTGGAGGAAGCAGCTCGGAGCTCAGCAGAGCTCTTCCAGGCCCGTGTGGCTGCCTCACCTTCCCTCAGCAGAACCTTCTCGTAGGCCGGGAACTTGGTGCTGACCGACACAGCAGCCGTCAGGTCTTCCCGGCTCTTCCGGATGTTCTTCTTGACCCCGGATCTCTGGCCACGTGTCCTCCAGAAGTCTGCCCTGTCCCCAGCGGTCTCTCTCTGGGCATTCTGGACACTAGCCATTTGCTCAGCTCTGAAAGAAGAAGCCAGGAGAAGTCATTCTCCACAGCACGTGGACAGGTTACTATCAAGACCTAGCCAGGATCACGTAAGAGCCCAGGGCTGACCGAGACTGACGACGGAAATAATGGAAGGGACTGAGGAGACAGAACAGGCAGTGTGTAAAGCTTCACTGTCAACCAGATTTAGAATCACTATGGAAACACACCTGTGGGTCAGTCTATGAGGGTATTTCTAGAAAGGGAAAGACCACCCTGAATAGATAACACCTTCCCTTGGGCTGGGATCCAAACTGAATATGAGGAAAAAAGCAAACTGGAGACCTGCATGCATATCTCTCTCTCTCTCTCTCTCTCTCTCTCTCTCTCTCTCTCTCTCTCTCTCTCTCTCTCATATGTTTGGCTCATATGGTATGTAGCATGAATGCATGTAGTAAACAGATCACCTTTCTTAAGTTTACACTGCCACACACCAGCAAGTGTTTCCCAGGGTGTGCCAGCCTCCTAAGGATGGAGACCAGGCATGCCAGGGGCACTATGACCATATGGTGTTTCCCATAAGCAAGGCAGCAGGCAATCCTCAAATAAACCAAGTGCAATAACCAAGCCTGAGATGCTCGAGACTCCAGAGGTGCTGGCTCTGTCCCCATAACAACTGATGATGGCAGATGATGTCGTCACATGGGATTTCCTTCAAGGCAGTTCTGTTGCCGTTTGATGGGAACGGGACCGAAAGATACGTTTAGGAAAGCACGGTCTTAGTCACCTGCTCTTGTTAGGGATTAAGCCTTTCTCCAGCTCATTTCCGATCCTCACAGCCAGCCAGTGGCCCAGCTTGCCATCATACAGCGTGTCTACCACTCGGAAGACCTCGCCCCTGGTGAAGGCCAGGCTCTGTGGGGTTTCCTTCTCACATTCAAAGTGGCTTCTTATGAAAAACGAGTCTCCTCTGCCACAAGCCAGGATGTCTCTGTACACTGGAAAACAAAAGCACTGTTGGCTGTGCTGGGCTGAACTGAAGATCGTTCCCGAGTCACCCTCATCCCAGGCCCTCCATCCCTAGCCCACAGGCCTGTGGGAATCAGGCTCCAACAAGAGGAAGCAAGAATCATTAACCTCCCGAAGTGCTGTGATGGGAGGTTTTACGTGTCAGCCTGACAGTGTATGTAGGTGCCCAGACAAGTGATTGAACATTACACTAGGCTTTTCTGAGAGGACATGGTGGTTGATAGGGGAATGAAAGTAACACTTAAATGCGGCGGTTCTCAACATGTGGGTCGTGACCCCTTTGAGGGTCGCCTATCAGATATCCTGCATATCAGAGATTTACATTATGACTTATAACAGCAGTAAAATTACAGTTATGATGTCGCAAAATGAAATCATTTTATGGTTGGGGTCACCACAGCATGAGGAACTGTATGAAAGGGTCACAGCCATAGGAAAGTTGAGAACCACTGCTCAAATACGTAGATTGAGTAAAGCAAATTGTTCTTCCTAGTACGGATGCCCCACCCCAGTTGAGAACCTGAGTAGAATATTCTGTCAAATCAGAGGGAGTTACTCTTCCCACCCCGGGCCTTCCAGCTGGGACATCCGCTTTGCTCCTACCTTTCGACTCTATCTACACCATCAGATAACTTCTCTTAGAAGTTAGTTAGGCTTTCAGCCTAAAACCAAAACCAAGTCTTTGATTCTTCTTTGATTCTGTTAGGTCTGCCACTTGCTGGCTCACCCTGCCCAACATGAGACTCACCAACCTGCACATTCACACCCACCAAGTCCGTAACAATGTGTCTTTATCTCTTATTGATTCTGTTTCTCTGAGGACCCCTTACTAATACAGTTGCTCATCAATCTCTTGACACAAACAGGAAGGGACTATTCTTGTCTTCCCACTTTATAAGAGAGGACCTAGAAAGGTGAGCAACTTGTGAGACTGGGGAAGAGTTAAGGGGAGCCTCTGCCACCCATTGTATGGAGACGCTGTAACAATTCCATCATAACTGAGGACACGCCATTGTTCAGAAAAGCCGTTTAACCCCAAACGACACACAACTGGCAAAATTATTTCAGGAGATGGGGGGAAAACATTTGTAATTCAAAATTAACAGCACCCAAATCTCCATACACCTGTGAGCCAATGTTGCTTATTCTGGTCCAAGACACCTCGTTCTTCCTTCACACTTCCCTCAAAAAAAAAAAAAAAAAAAAAAAAAACCAGATGGTCAAACTTTGCTCACCGTCTGCTCGACTCTGAGCCAAAATGGTCACAGTTTCACCTTTGGGGATTTCTAACAGGTAGAGAACCGCATCTTCCCGAACTAGCCCTCTGAAGTCCTGTGTGTTCACCTGGACAGAAGCAGAAATAACAAATGAGTAAGGGGCATGCGGGGGTGGGGGTGGGGGGCGGGGGTGGGGTGGTGTTATAGTGTTATAGAAAGGTTTTGGTGGGGCTGGGGAAATATCTCAGTGTTCAAGTACTTGCTTAGCATGTACAAAGCTCTAGGCTTAATCCCTAGCAGTACCAGAAATTTGAAATGGTAACTCCTAAGTTTCTGTTTGTTTCCACTGGGGTCTGCCCAGGGCAAAAGCAGGACGTACACAAATCTATACTGTAATAGAGTTGCCACTCAGTGCCCTGCCCAGCACCTTCCTATTGGCCTGGGCTATCTGAGTACTGTTCCACCTTCCTTCTTTGGTGCTCTGCATACCATCACATCTGCCAAGTCTACAAACCAAGAATCTGTCACTGAGTTGGGCGGTGGGGGCCCACGCCTTTAATCCTAGCACTTGAGAGATAGAGGCAGGCAGATCTCTGTGAGTTCGAGGTCTGGTCTACAAGGTGAGCTTCAGGACAGCCAGGGCTACAAAGAGAAACCCTGTCTAAAAAAAAAAAAAAAAAAAAGTCACTGAACTGATTAGAATTTCTTTGTCATTCTGTCTGTCTCCCTTTCTTCAAAGTATCCCAAAAAGGTGACCAGAAAGGTACAATATGGAAGTAATAAACAGATAACTATAATCAATATTGAATGGTGGGGTCTGTGATAAACAGATCTGGCACCACACTTTTTAAAAATTAACTCAAGTAAAATCTTGAATGCACATTCACAGATCAATCCAACCTTTCTCCTGTAACTCCAATCACTTAAAAACCATCTAACACAAGAAATGCTGATGCACAACTCTAACCCTGGTGTTTCTGGCTGAGGCAGGATGGTTATGAGTTCAAGGTCAGTGAAATTCTGTCTCAAAAGCAAAGCAAAAGAAACATGTTCAACATGTGTTCATGAAACAGAATGCATTAGTCTTACATGGAAGACCACTGGCCCCTGTATCATTAAGCTGCTGGCCTATATGCCCTTATGGCAAGCAGTCCACAACATTTATCACACTACGGCTGAGGGGAACACTACAGAAAGATGCTGTAAGATAACTTTGAAAGCCAGTGAGTGGTTTTGATTTGCATTTCTCTGATGGCTATGGATGTTGAACATTTGGAAAAAAAAAATTCTTGTCTATCTGTATTTCTTCATTTGAAGATTCTACCTACTTCCACGCCCCAATGTATAAAGATTACTTTATGTTGTAAGAGTGCTTTGCCTGTATCTGTCTCTCTGTACTATGTGTGTGCCTGGTGCCCAAGGAAGGAGAGAAGTGACTCCCAAAAGGTGTCCTCTGACCTCCCCATGTATGACAGGCACAAGCATGTCATGTTCTGACCCCCAACTGCACACACAAATAAGAGGTAGTTTTCAAAAATCCATGTGATTTGACAACAATAACCACAACCCACCCCCACCCCACCCCTACCTCCTGCAAATGTGTTCGGTTTTCTCTTTGTTTTTTCCATCCCGTAATAGTTTTTAAAAGAGAAATACCAGCCACACCACATAAATAACAATGAGGCAGTTAAACCAAGCAGGAAAAGAAATAAATAAAGGCAGTCATATTTCTGTTGTCTGTAAGACCTGTGGTCAGCTGCAGTACAGCACACTGCACATGTCAGACCTCACCTACCATTCTTAAAACCCTACCACCTCTCCCAACAACAACAACAACAAAAATGGCCAGGCTATGCACGTAGTTCCCTTCAGACCTTCAGGCTGACCAAGGAGTGTGGAACACAGTCAAGTGCTTCTGAACTCCAAGGTCAGACTGTGCAGTCCTTTCCAAGAGACAAATATCGTCTTTCATTATCTGAGAGCAGTGTGCAGGGCGGGCTGGGTATGCTGGGAGCCTGGGGAGGATTCGGTATCAGTTCCAGCTCCCTGTGCTTGTAGCTGCCTCTGCTTAGCTCGGGGAACTCACTCTTCCTCAGCCTTTTACAGAAAAGAAAGAGATCTTGTAGTCAGCTAGAGTGACGATCAAGGCCACTTGCTGTCTGGCCTCTACGGAGGACTACCGCAAAGGAAGTCAGGACGCACCAGTCTCTCCCTGGTCACCATGGCGATGCCAGGAAACAGAACTTTCTAGAAAAGCTCTGAGTATAGAAGCAATTCTCCTTGTCTTTAACAGTGTTTTATACAGAAACTGGAGTCTGAAGCCCTAGGTGAATTCTCTTCATAGAAATGCACACGATTGTCCACAAGACAAATCTATTTTCCTCTTCAACTGTAATAAGCAAAGCTCTAAACCTCTAGCTTCCCAGTAGCAGGAAACTTGTTTTCTCTTCATTAGCATATGTACCAAATACAAATTAGCATGTGCTGGCATTTGAAAAGATTTTCATCAGTAGCATGGGAGGCTGGGGGTGAAGCGATGTCCTATGTTGCCTTAGGTTTACTCAGGTCATCTTCTAGGACCCTTCCTGGAGCCAAAGAAAGTCCTAGACCCTTTGCAAGGTCTGGCAAGCCCACTCTGGAGGTGCGATCTGAATCACTTCAGCTGAGTGCAGAGGCAGGGTATGCCCTTGCGTCCTGAAGCCTGACTCTCTGAGTGATCCTGCAACTTCTCCCCTCTCCCTTGGGCCTAGAAGTGCTCACCAGAGCCCCAGTTAATGACATGTGGGTTTTCCATCAAGGTCTGTGTGTGCGTGAACATAGAAATAGAAAGAAATGTGAGTTCGGGGCCAGCGTGGTCTACAGAGCCAGTTCCAGGATAGTCAGGGCTACACAGAGAAGCCCTGTCTCAAAAAAAGAACAAAACAAAACAAAACAAACAACAAGAAAGAAAGAAAGAGAGAGAGAGAGAGAGAGAGAGAGAGAGAGAGA